CATTAATTTTTAATGTTTACTTATTGAACCGAAACTATTGAAATGGTGATTATATCAAACTTTATTTTTCCTATGTTTTTTTTCAATTATATAATACAAATGAAAACTTAATTTATATTCATTGTATCAAACGCAAAAAAAGAAATCTAATTTACCGCCCATATACTTTTGCCTCTGAATCAGGGGGGTGACACGCAAATGGTAAACCTTTATTCACGTATATAGTTTTTGAAAGCATTCACAGAGGCGCTGGTGTCGCTAAGTTCGGGAGTATTCGGCATTATTCGGATATCCAACGATTTTTAAATTAAATTTAAATTTATGATATTTAAAATAAACTGTAAAAAAACAAATAAATGTATGTAGTATTAAAAAAAACTGTAATAAACATGAAATAAATGAAATAATAATAAATAACAATATATATTCAGAACGGTATACTCAACTACCATCTAGTAGCCCAAGTTAATAGTAATAAATATGAGTAAGATTCGGGGAATACCAACTTCTACGCAGTTTTATAATTGCGTTGTGATTTTATCGTTGTGTTGTATTATCGTGGTGTATTTTATTGTTTGTGTATATTTGATATTTATTTATTTATTACTTTTAAAGTAATGTCTTTAAAGTCATCGTATGATACATATCTGGTAAGTTTTAACTGGTTTGAACATTATTTAACACCTGTGAAAGTGTTAAGTAATCAAACAAAAAAGGAATACAGGAATAATCTAAAAAATCTTAATTTCCAGAGATGTGCTTATCAGCAATGTGTTACAAATACATTGCCTCCGGAGCAACGTGGAATTATCTTCTGTTTTCCAAGAACGGACGGACTTCGGAGGCAATGGCTTGAAATTTTGGACCGAATTTTTTCAACTAACATATAAGCAATTGCTTAACAAAAAGATAAGAGTATGTGCCCGTCATTTCAATGAAAAACAATTTCAAACAATTGCAAAAGAAAAGTTGTTAAGAAACCAATTGCCACATATTGATAGATTTGGTAAGTTAATATCCCAAGTAACTATTAAAGTACATGTTTATTTTAAATGTTTCTTTAACAATACCAATTAGATGATACGTTAACATCACCAGAGCCATTTCAACATCTGGACAGATGCCTGATGTAGAGGCACCTACTTCACAACCATGTGGTGTAAAGAGAAAAAATAAAGGTAAATAATATTTTATATTATATTATACATAATATTATAACAATTAAAAAAATAAATAAATAATAAACTGTAATAATCATAATAATTATCTAAAATACATTCCGAATGTTCCCCTAAAATACATATAGNTTAACAAAAAGATAAGAGTATGTGCCCGTCATTTCAATGAAAAACAATTTCAAACAATTGCAAAAGAAAAGTTGTTAAGAAACCAATTGCCACATGTTGATAGATTTGGTAAGTTAATATCTCAAGTAACTATTAAAATACATGTTTATTTTAAATGTTTCTTTAACAATACCAATTAGATGATACGTTAACATCACCAGAGCCATTGGCTTCAACATCTGGACAGATGCCTGATGTAGAGGCAGCTACTTCACACCCATGTGGTGTAAAGAGAAAAAATAAAGGTAAATAATATTTTATATTATATTATACATAATATTATAACAATTAAAAAAATAAATAAATAATAAACTGTAATAATCATAATAATTATCTAAAATACATTCCGAATGTTCCCCTAAAATACATATAGTTTTATCGAGTAGTATGTAATGAGAAAAAAATTTAATTCTTGTTTATTCGTAAATTTATCACCAAACAGATTTTATGAAATAATAGTTATTTATGTACCAAGTCGGCAAAGTGATGCTTTATCGAACGAGTTGAGTTTACGAGTCGAGCGAGCGAGGCGAGTAACAGGCGAGTTCGATAAAGACACTTTGCTGACGTGTTGCATACAACATTTTATCGCCAACCGCAAAATTTTACGATATGAAGATATTCTATTTATCAATATTATGACATATATTATTATCGAATATAGCAATATGAGTTTCAACAGAAAGAATGCTATGCTTTGGAAACTTAATGAAATCAATTACATAAAGTACGTTTGTACAGTACTCCATAAAACAACGGACTGTAAGGGAATATTTGGAAACAGTTTTAATTTGTAATACTAAATCAAAATTATTTGATATTTAGGTCATTCCGTCATCAAACAAATAGGTGTGAAGCGAAGGGCCGAATTGTCAACAAAGGAACAAGAGTTCTTGACAAGGTTGACAAGGTTGACAAGGGCGCAGAGAATTTTAAAGTACACCAGAGGACGTATGCAACGTCCAAAACTGCTACACGTTGATATCCGTTTTCCGGGCACCATAAGTAACATAAAAAACATTCATTGTTTGCCAAAGGTGCTCCGATTATTTATAACAACACTGCTGAAGAATACAAACAAATCTACCTACAAAAAATCTTATGTCTTCCATCAGTAAGAACTTTGAGGAGGTGTCTCTCATTTTTCTCTATAAGCAGTGGTGTTAATGAAAAACTATTTAGTCACTTGAAGAATATTTCAAGTCAAATGCCGCTGCGTCAACGTTACTGCACACTTATATTTGATGAGATGGACATCGGGAAGAATTTAAGATTGATTGCTACGGACAATAGTTGGCATGTTGAAGGATTTGTGGAGACAGGGACAGAACGAGGTCATAAACTTGCTGATCATGTTTTGGTGTTTATGATTCGTGGCGTTGCGAAAATGTGGAAGCAACCAGTTGCTTTCTATTTTACACATGCAGCTGCGAACCAGTATACAATCAAAGCATTGTACACTTTTTCAAGCAAGTTGTACGAGCAGTTCATGAACTTACTGAATTTCGCATCGTAGCATCTGTATGCGACGGCGGCTCGTGGAACGTAGCCGCCTTGCGTAGCCTTTCGGTAGAATGTGGCAGAGAGGGTAATCACTTCGTATACAGTATTGATGGCCACCAAATTATTCATCTTTTTGATATCCCTCATATGCTGAAAAGCATGAGGAATAATTTGATGACCAAAAATATTGTATTCGAAGGTAAAACAGTCAGGTGGAGCGACATTCATAGGCTGTACGAGTTAGATGGGGATAGTGGAGCATTCAGAGCCACCAAGCTCACGATTGCCCATGTAAACCCTACTAACCGTCAGAAGATGAAGGTAAAACTTGCCGCGCAAGTTTTCAGCCGGTCTACCGCTTCCCTCCTACACATTCTATCGAAGACAGGCGTTATGGATGCTGCGGGAATAGCGATATTCGTTAAGTTCATGGATGACTTGTTTGATTCAATGAATTCGGTGGTTACTAGCTCCACAAAGCCTTTAGCGTGCCAATTAACTAGAACTTCCCAACATCTCGCATTTTGGGATAGTGCTAGGAGGAAGTTGAATCGTATTAAATTCTATTCCGGTGGTAAGTGTGTAGGAAATCCGCCAACGATCAAGTTACTGTTAGCAACTATAGGCAATGTACGATATTTATGGGATTCTTTAAAGGAGATGGGTTTTGAGCATCTCTCTTTGAGATCTTTAAATCAGGACCCTTTAGAGAATCTCTTTAGTGTTGCAAGAGGGTTATGTGGTGGTAATACGAAACCATCAGCCTCTCAGTTTGTCGATGCTTACAAGACAGTTATTCTAAGTAATACTGCTCGTTGTGACATTGGGACGAATTGTGAGGATGATGGTGGCGATTTCCTTGTTTCATATCAAATCCTGCTGGGCAACGATCCAGGTAACACCACTTCCTCTGATCCATCTGACAATCCATCAACTACCTCCGCTCCTTCTCCTTATGATAGCACCACAAAATTGTCAAGCAACATTAAAAGTACCGTATTGTTGTCTGAAGTTGACCTTAATAAGTCAGCTTGTGTTGCAGAGTACTTGATTAAAAAACTATTAAATTATGAGTGTGAGTGTTGCGATCAGTTCTTTCGTTCTGATGGCATATCTGATGTTCATAATTTAATAGTTTTCTCGGATAACGACACAGACGGTAATTTGAATATGAAATATCCTTCGGCGACATTCGTGAATATTATCGCTGTTGCAAAAGAAAGAATTTTTGTTAACATTCCAAACATAATCCGCCATCCCAATATTCTATCTCACTTGTCATATTCTGATTTTCCCCAATCCTTTTGCACTAAACATGGAACTGAGATAAGTAAAAGATTATCAACGCATTTAACTTTACTATTACTCAATCACTTTATTAAACTTTGTAATAACAAATTACATAAAACTGACCTTACACCTAACAATGTAGTTATGTGGCTAAAGTTAGATTCACTCGCCAGACACAGATTCGAATATTTACAGTCGATCAAACAAGTAGTGGTCCTAAAATTTTATTTCAAATATGAACTTTTCTCACCACTTGGGAGCGTTTCACTCTAAACTCACGCTAAGTACTTAAGTTGAACCCTCTAGAACCCCCGTATCTAGAGATGGGGATGCTGGAGGAGGGTTTAATTTCTGATAATTTTGTAGAGTAATTTTAGGATTTTTTTTTCTCATCCCCCGGGGTGTGCTTCACTTTGCAACTACGCTAAATAATTAAGTCAAACCCTCTAGAACCCCCGTGCAGGATCAGAACCCCCAAATTTATAGATGGAGATGCAGGGTGAGGGTTTAATTTTTGTTAATTTTGTAGGGTAACTTTAGGATTTTTTTTCTCATCCCCCGTGGAGTGCTTCACTTTGCAACCACGCTAAATAATTAAGTCGAACCCTCTAGAACCCCCGTGCACGATCAGAACCCCCGAATTTAGAGATGGGGATGCAGGGTGAGGGTTTAATTTTTGTTAATTTAATTTAATTTTTTATTATTATTTTAATTAATTTAATTTTTTGCACTCCACGGGGGATGAGAAAAAAAATCCTAAAGTTACCCTACAAAATGAACAAAAATTAAACCCTCACCCTGCATCCCCATCTCTAAATTCGGGGATTCTGATCGTGCAAGGGGGTTCTAGAGGGTTTGACTTAATTATTTAGAGTGGTTGCAAAGTGAAGCACTGCACGGCGGATGAGCAAAAAAATCCTAAAGTTACTCTACGAAATTTACAAAAATTAAACCCTCACCCTGCATCCCCATCTCTAAATTCGGGGATTCTGATCGTGCAAGGGGGTTCTAGAGGGTTTGACTTAATTATTTAGAGTGGTTGCAAAGTGAAGCACTGCACGGCGGATGAGCAAAAAAATCCTAAAGTTACTCTACGAAATTTACAAAAATTAAACCCTCACCCTGCATCTCCATCTCTAAATTCGGGGGTTCTGATCCTGCACGGTGGTTCTAGAGGGTTCGACTTAATTATTTAACGTGGTTGCAAAGTGAAGCACTCCACGGGGAATGAGAAAAAAAAACCTAAAGTTACTCTACAAAATTAACAAAAATTAAACCCTCACCCTGCATCTCCATCTCTAAATTCAGGGGTTCCGATCGCGCATGGGGGTTCTAGAGGGTTCGACTTAATTATTTAGCGTGGTTGCAAAGTGAAGCACTCCACGGGGGATGAGAAAAAAAAATCGTAAAGTTACTCTACAAAATTAACAAAAATTAAACCCTCACCCTGCATCCCCATCTCTAAATTCGGGGGTTCTGATCGTGCACGGGGGTTCTAGAGGGTTCAACTTAAGTACTTAGCGCGATTTTAGAGTGAAACGCTCCCAAGTGGTGACAAAAGAAGTTCATATTTGAAAGAAAATTTTAGCACCACTACTTGTTTGATAAACTGTAAATATTCGAATCTGTGTCTGGCGAGTGAATCTAACTTCAGCCACATAATGTAGTTGACTCTTTTTTAAAGGATGCTGCTTGAAAGGTTTGAAGGTAGTCTTTATGTATTTTTTTTTTAATAAATTGGTTGAGTAATACTAAGGATAATGCTTTGAAGAAGGCTTGGGACCATGTTTAATGCAAAAGACATTATGGAGTAAACAAAATATGATATGTGAGACAGAATGTTGGAATGATGGATTCTGTTTGACTTTTACGTACAATTTTTTCTTTTACAAGAAAGATATTATTCTAATAGTTTAGGTTAATTCACAGGCCGCATGAACGTAAACTCACACGTTATACAAAAAAGCCACCTAAAACAGATAATCAACAATTGGGAGGCCCAAAGGTAGCCTCACACTGGGACGAACTTCCAGGTCACAGACAAGCGAAGAGAATGATAACTCCGTCGCAAAACTAAACCAAAAAGGTTTTATGCCTCAGCAAGGGGGATCTAAGGACGCCCTAAGGTTACCTGACCGGCCATGTGCCCCTAAAATACTACCTCTTCCACATTGAACAAGCTGAGGATCAAACTTGTCGACTTTGCAACGACGAGTCAGAAACTGCTGAACATTACTGTGCAATTGCGTCGCCAGAGGCCGACTAAGGCGCAACATTTTCGGTCAAACTCCTTTGACACCTACCGACATAAAGGCTCAAACCCTCAGGGCAATACTAAGGTTTATCAAGGACCTATATTTGCCCTAATCCTTTGGAGGGCTAAAGTTACAATAGATCTTATAGGTCGCGCTAACGAGTGGGCCGCTCCCCTCAGTCCGTCAGCAATAATAAATAAGTAAAAGTAGATATACATATAAATTCATTATTTTATTACATGTACAAACGAGCACAATTTATTAAGTAAACTGTTCAATATTCATCTGTTATCTTTCCGATAGCATTTCGTACAGTACATATAAGTTCTTGGTGAGAATAAGTGAAATTAGGGAATAGCAATATGTTTTATGTTTTAATAGTTAACTTTTTATTATATAACAATATATATAATGTGTTTTGACACAAATCATCTCATTTTGTTTATATTATAATCATTATAATTTTAATAGAGTTTTTATTTTGTTTATGAAACATTTCCTAGAGTACGTTTAAGTTCTTGGTGAGATTAAGAAATAATAGAAAATAACCATATTTGTTTTTATTGTAATTATTAAATATTTTTTTAATTAAATAAATTGAAATTTAAAAAAAAATTACACCTTGTTTTATTTTTTTTTCTTATTTCAATATTAAATGAAATTTAACATAGCGACACTAGCGCCTCTGTGAATGCTTTCAAAAAGTATATACGTGAATAAATTTTACCATTGCGTGTCACCCCCCTGCTCTGAATGTACCTGCTGCGACATGTCAAATTCCCCAGGGACAATGATTGCTTGGGAGAGCTATACAACCAAACACAAAATTCACACACATCTTTGCACATTTCACCCAAAAGGCATTTACATTACTACCTACAATAATACACTTACATGGTGTCAAGCAAAACATATCTGAGTATTTGTTACGTGGCAAAAATGCGTACTCAGATATATTTTGTGACGCACATTAACACCATATCAAAGATTTTATTTCAATATTTGTCAATATTTTACTATTTTATTATGTTAAAATAATTAACAATATTTTAAGTGGCAAAGATTCGCGATACGTAAATTTAGACCATTTAACATGCATATCAATCATATTTAAAAAAAATTAAAATTAAGAAAAGAATACCTTAATTAACACTTTCGCGTAAACTGTGATTTCGATAGTACACCCGTAAACGGACCAATTGACTGCATATATAGTTCTGTCCGCGAAAGTGTTAATATTAGTTGAACTAAAATTAGAACTAAAACTAACACTAAGAACTTACGGGTTTTGCCGTGTGTCTTTTAAGAAAAGGTTTGACGTTTCGGATGCCATGTTGCAACCTTCAGCAACCTTCAAAAACTGGTTCGAAGTGTCCTCGTACCAGTTTCTGAAGAAGGTTGCAACATGGCATCCGAAACGTGGAACCTTCTCTTAAAAGACGCACGACAACCCCGAAAGTTTCTAGTGTTAGTTCTAACTTTAGTNTTTACCACATTTCGATAGCTATTTTCGTTTTCAGCCTATAAGCGAATATATATATTTCGCCCCGATTTCCAACCCTTATAACTCGCCCCAGGGGCTTTATTAGCACGTATAAAAAAATACGTAAACCTTATTTTTGGCCATACTATCACTGTACCAAATTTCAACAAAATCGGTGAGGGACAGTTCTGATACTTCCCTTGTGAGTGTACTTTGGCTGAGTACAAACATAAGCCAGCCCTTCCAATTGAAGTCTATAAAGCTATCAAACCAGTCTATGAAGAACTGACCAGTGAAAATCTTCTAACTCGATGCATCGGCGGTTACACACAAAACAGTAACGAAAGCTTCAACTCGACTGTGTGGGCATTGGCCACAAAATCCATTTCGAGTGGTAAAACAATCTTGGATGTAGCTACGAATATTGCGGTGTGTGTTGTGTACAATGACGGGTTTTCTTCAATTTTGCACATAATGGAGGCAATCGGCTTGGAAATCGGCCCCAACAGCTACGAAATGTGCCTAGAGATCGACAAACAGCGCATAAAGCTTGCAGAGAGATGGCTGTCTGAACGGCTAAAAGGGGCAAGGATTACTTCAAGATCAAGCAGAAAAGAAAAGCAAAAGCAGGACGATAATCGGGAAGGCCAGTTGTATGGTGCAGGCATCGGCGATTAAAAGTAATTAAAAAAAAAAGAAAAAGTAATTGCAGTATAAAAAATAAATTTTTTACATTACAATTGTCTAAGTTTCGACGTTTTGGTTTCAATTTAACCGTGTTATCCAAACATTCAACGAACCCCTTTAATTTAAACCTTTTGTCTTAAAAAATTTACAAATCGTTTTCCTTGAATTTGTCAAATCGGGTCACATTTCGTATTGATTCTAAAAAAAAAGTATTTATAAACCCAAAAAATCCAAATCTTTCTCAAAGTTAATAACGCATCATGCCGCATCTAAACATACTACATGGTTGTTTGAAATTTTGTGGTTTTTGGGAAACAGATGAAAAGTTTGAACGAAGAAATGTAATTAAAATGAGAATAACTTTAGGGATATTCGTTTATTATTGTATCGGGATGGGTTTGTATTTAATAAAAATTATTCCAGGTTTAAAAATATTTATAAGAAATTCTTCCAATAATTTAAATAAATTTTTAGATGAAACGGTTCGTATTAACGAAAAATTTGAATCTCTTTTCGCAGTGTCGGGATTTTTTAATATGGTTTTTAACTGTTTTGCAATGTTTCACCAACGAATCAAAATAAAAAAATTATTTATGGAGCTCGAAAACTTTGATGAAAATGACCACAATATTAAAAACTTACCGAAAATAGCGAAATTGATGAATCTTTTAGGGTTCTCAATGGTTGCTTATTGCGTTCTTGCATCTTTTATTGTCAGTTTAGGCCCTGTTTATCAGTACGAAAATTGTTTAAGACAAGAAGAAATTTTGAAAAGTTTAAATCGCACATCCATTATATGTGGTTTTGGCGTAAAGGTGTTTTATCCTTACCGAGTTAGCAGCGGAATTTTGTATTTTGTTCATGTCACAATTGAGAACTACTCAATTTGTTATGCATGTGCGGGTGGATGTATGATTGCCCCGTGTACTATGGCCTCTTTTGAATTTGTAATATTAAGAATTCAATTACTAAAAGAGATGTTAAAAAAAGTTTTTGAAAATACTCATGAAATAGATGATACAAGAAAAATGCAAGAATGGAAAATCAATTTTACAGCTTGTATAATTTTTCACATAAAAATTATTAAGTATATTTTGGTGACCCATTTAAAGTTTTGTTTTTGGTATAAACTTTATTTTTGTAGCCTCGCTGAAATGATTAATAATTGTTTTTCGACCGTAACTTCACCAGCATTAGTTAATTATAGCATTTGTATAGGTACTACATTAATGGCCTGCCTTTCTGTTAGTATTTAAATTGAAATCGATATTTTAAAGTTTGATTAAAATTTTAATTTTTAGGGTCACAGTACAATCTCTCTTCTAAATTTATGCGGTTGGGTGCTTGGTGTCTATCTTATGTGTTTAACAGGACAGAGGATTCAAACTCAAGTAGGTGTTTTATTATCTCTCTGTTATATTCCATAAACACAATAAATACAAAGTATAGTACACATTTGCATTAAACTTTAGATTTAATTTTAGAGTTTATCGATTGCGGATGCAGTTTACGATATGGAGTGGTACAAAGCAAATCCGAAGTTGAGAAAGGATATTTATTTCATGATGATTAGAGCTCAAAAACCGTTATTATTTCAATGTGGAATTTTGGGCAATTTTCATTTTATTACATTCAAAAATGTAATTAAATCAAACTTTTTTCAGTATAATTCATATTTTACTATCGTCTTTTCTTTTTTAGATCATGTCGACCGCATACAGATTTACAACATTAAAAACAGGATTTAGTGGCTAAACAACAGAAATTTTGTTACCATGTAGTTACTAAAGAAGTCGTAGTTGTTGTAATGAAACAAAGTGCACCTTTTAATATACATTCAAATTGTTGCTTAGAATGAATGTCATTTATAGTCCTTATAAAAACAGGAGTCTTAGTTGTAAACTTGATACCAAAAGAATTTATGTATATGAGAAGGCAATATTGCAATACCTGTTGAAATTGTACAGGGTGGGCAAATTTGGGTGTTATTATAGGCTATCTCAGAAACTATAAGAGATACGAAAAAAGTAGGTGCCATGTCCCGGTCTCTTTTTTCGAGACTAACCCAATCCCGCAAACACCAAACCTCTATCTTCTTTTGTTTTTAAGTTATAGCCAAAAANAATATATAGGTGGTTCCATTTAAAATAACGAAGTTGTTGTCTACTTCCGGTATAACCGGAAGTGCGACAGTCTTGAAAATATTTTAGGTGAGTTGGGCATATCGACTTAAGTGCGCCTACAAATTTTCAGAAAGATACTACTCATAGTTTCTCCTATATCGATCGACGCAGTTCATCGTGGGACACCCATATAAACAAAATTTAATTTTTATAAATTTAAGTTATAACAATATATTACAAGTAAAAATAAAAACAAATATTTTATAATTTTGATTTTTATTACAAGCGTAAAACTTCCCTAAAAATACTCCACTTCCTATTAAAAATTAACACTAATAAGTGGAAGATACACACTATTTAGTGATATTTTGTCAATTAATAGAGTAAAATTAGAGCGAATTTTTAATAATTTACACTGATTAGATTAGAAATGTATCTAATTAGAGTCACGACAATACCGTGTTTTCTCGAATCTAATCCGCACCTTTTTTACAAATTTTGTATGCTCTAAAATCAAATGCGGATTACAATCGGATGTGGATTACATTGGAAAACCAACTTTTTTTACCATCATTGCATTTTTAAAATCGAGGTGCGGATTAGATTCTAGTGCGGATAAGATTCGAGAAAATACGGTATCTAGTTAGATTACATATAATACACTGTTATAGAGTAACGATTTTACACTATTTAATAAACACCGTCTTCTCACTATTTAGTGTAAATTTTTAATCTATTCAGCTACACTATATAGTGCAAAAAAATAACTCTAAATAAATTGGACCGATCTGAACCATGTTTTAGAGTTGATTTTTACTCTATATTTTTTCCTGTGTATGAACAACAACTTCAGGAACTAAACAGTCACAGACTGTGTCATCTTCTACTAAACTTACTGGTTGTAAGGTTAGAACAGTTGGGTATCAATGAATGAAATCTTCGGTAGTATTCTCCCAGTTTTCCCCAACCATGAGATTTAGAAGTGTTTTCATATTTGCAACCTTTTCTTTTGAAATTGGGTGAGATAGAGGAAGATTATTGATCATAAACTGGGCAGCGGACTTTTCATTGAAACGATGCTTATATGGGATATAGAGCCTTATTTATCATTTTCAAAGAATTATTTTTTAATTTTATCACTTTATATATTTAAAGATAATGAGGAATTTTTTAGAATTAAAAAATAACGCTTATTTTCCCCAAATACACCATGCGTGCAATACATCATTGGAAAGCTAAAAATATGCTCTTCTCAGTAGCACCATAATCTACTATAGTTTGTATTTAAAAAAATACAACTTTGTGTTGTATCTCAAAAACCATCAAATATTTTTAAAATTTTTCAACGGTATACTGCCGTTGTATTAAAAAAGTGTCTTAAGAACGTATCAACCCCATTTCTGTAATTTGAAAAATAAACGAAATATGATCTTTTTTTGAAATCACGAAAATTTGACTTTTTGACTATAACTTAAAAACAAAAGAAGATAGAGGTTTGGTAATTGCGGGATTGGATTAGTCTCGAAAAAAGAGACCGGGACATGGCACCTACTTTTTTCGTATCTCTTATAGTTTCTGAGATAGCCTATAATAACACCCAAATTTGCCCACCCTGTACAGTGTGTTAATTAATTATCGTACCCGACGTCGTCAATCCAAGTATGCAACCAAATACGCAAATTGCGTATTGCAATACCCATACTGCGATATTGGTTGCAATAATGACGTCGGGTACGATAATTAATTAACACACTGTACAGGGTGGGCAAATTTGGGTGTTATTATAGGCTATCTCAGAAACTATAAGAGATACGAAAAAAGTAGGTGCAAGTATGCAACCAATATCCCAGTATTGGTATTGCAATACGCAATTTGCGTATTTGGTTGCATACTTGTATTGACGACGTCGGGTACGATAATTAATTAAGACAGTGTACATCAAGTGTTCACAATATGTGTCGCCGTCTAACAGTGAGATAAAAGAAAAAATATAGAATAATATAAACATATTCTTAAAGACAGCAACACCCAACAATGCAATTAATACAATGCTTATTTCCTGTTAATCGTCAAGTTTTCACTGACGATATGTTTATAGCTGCCGATCCCATTGATCAGCGAGAAAATAAATCACCTGCAACGGAAGGGGATTCACCAGAAAGAGAACCATCATTCCCAGTCAGGCATCAAGCACCACTTCCATCAACTTCATATTCGACCCACACACTACTACAATCAAAATCGACTCGTCCTCATGAGTCAGATGGCAGCTTCTCCAGCGACGATGATAAACCTTTGACCAATATTCTTCAAGGTTGTTTCATCAGAAATGATTCAACCATACCCAGCGTTGAGAAGGCCTGCAAACTGAAGTGCCAACCAGTAAATTGCCATCGTTGAAAGGAAAGGGACTATCGAAGGAAAAATCAGTTCAATTTTCTCAGCATATTCCTAAAAATGGGAAATTTGACTCGCGCAAAAATAAGTTTTTTTTTTTGTTCTATGGTTAACACTTTCATATATATTTTTGTTTCTAATAAAGTTATGTTTGGTATATTAATCATGAGAGTTGTCCGTGATTTTGTACTTCAACTTTGAGTATCTTTAAATAAAACTTTAAGTATCCCATTTTAGATAAAGTTCCCCTATCTGCTGATGGAGGGGGATCATGAAGGGAAGAGATTGGTGGCCAGATCCCGCTGCGGCAATGAAGAGAGAGGGAACAGGTATTGGGCAGACGATGTGGAAAGGTGGTGTAGGCTGTGTGGAGAAGATTGGAACACGCTGGAACACATGCTAAGAGGGTGTGCTAAGCTGAGGGAGCAGGCGATGGACAGGAAGCAGATTTTGGAAGAGGGGGCGAGAGTAAAAGATAGATGAGGGAAGAGGGTTTGGGTGTATAGTCTATATTTTGTACTGGAGAAATATTATAAATTATAAACAATAAAACGTTTATTATTGAAGGAAAGGGTGTTTAAACATCGCCCTCAAACCTTGTTTGTTGCTACTAATGGCCGCTGTATTAACGAACATAATTCCAAAATGATAACAGAATAAAGGTTACTACTGAATCATCATGGATACAATGAAATCCAAATCTGCAAATGATTTCTTCGATTTTTACCAAACACTAAAATAGCATTTCACAATTATATTTCTCGTATCGGATTTGTACGGTAGAAGCACAACAATCTAGCTCTACCGAACAGTATCGATATGTTGACTACACAAGAAAAAACACTGGTTACATTTAGCACTTACATTTTCCGCGTCGAACACATTCGGTAAAAATACAATAATAAAGGTACCACCGAACAGCATCAATACGTTGAATACAAAAGACTTAAGAGACGAAACACTTTAGCAAGACGGAATAAGATTCCATACTGGTTGCAATAAAAAACCTATATTCACCGCATCGAATTCGGTTGCTCAAAACGCACCATCAAGCACTTGGTACTACCGAACCAAGCAGCATCGATTCGTTGAATACAGAACACCTTCGGCAAGATAGAATAAGATTCCATACTGGACACTTTTAGCACCAATATTTTCGGCATCAAATTTGTTCGGTAAAAATATAACAACAAAGGCACAACCGAACAGCATCGATGCGTCAAATAGAGAGAATGTGGAGAACAAAACACTTTGGTACGATGGAACAAGATTCCATATACTGGACACTTTTAGCACCAATATTTTCGGCATCAAATCTGTTCGGTAAAAATATAACAACAAAGGCACAACCGAACAGCATCGATGCGTCAAATAGAGAGAATGTGGAGACAAAACACTTTGGCATGATGGAACAAGATTCCATACTGGATACATTTATACAGCACTTATATTCCTCGCAACGAACATGTTCGGTAAAAATACAATAATCAAGCACAACCAAACAGGATCGATACGTTGAATATAAAAGTCGTGAAGACAAAACACTTTGGCAAGATGGAATAAGATCCCATACTGGTTACAATAAAGACGCTACATTCCTCGTATCGAATTTGGTATTGAGTTCTTGTAAAACTGTTCACAATATCACTAAATTTAAATAATATTAAACTGTGATTAAAAAACGAGAAACTTTTCGAAGACTAACAACCAAAAAAGCATCAAATTTTAGCTGTATAATCAAGACTACAAAACATGCCTGTATCCATCATTGGATACAATACTCTTGAATGAGATAAGTGGATTCATTTTTGTTTATTATTCTGTTATCATTTTTAAATTGTAGCAGCGAGATTTTTGTAAAACCCCATTTTGTATGAATATAATAAAAATACGCACCTTCACACGTAAGTTTCAGATCATTTTTGATCATTTTTGCATAGCACTGAAATAAAAACTAGAAAATTAAAAGAAATGATGGTATTTCAAATTTAAACTCAATTCAAAAGTTGCATGAAACCTAATTTATTTATAAAAAAAACCTAGATTTTTACAGAATTCAGAATTTATTTTTAATCGTCTACTTTCTTTTTTATTTTACCTTTTTCCTCTTTGTCAATAGAACAATCTCAAAATAACCCTTTTTCGTCTTTAATAATAATAATGAAGTAGATAAAAAAATCTGTTCGTGTATAAAATCCAATATGAAATCAAAATAAAAATGGACCTTAAAAAAATCTTTTTTTTTATTATTATTTCTCTAACGTCTATCTCTTGAATCTGAACGGCTTCTTCTGTCCCTGCTACGACTCCTCGATCTCGGAGTTCGTGATCTTCTTGGTGACCTGGACCTATAAATACGTTCGAGTTTATACATTTTTTTTAACTTTATATAAATTATATACCTTACAAAAGAAAAAAGTTAATCACATCAATAAAGTGTTGAAACAAAAAATATTTTATTTATAAACCGGATCAGAAACTTACATTATACCAGATACAACGGTACTCTGCCCAGATTTATAGATTTTAAAATATTTTGCAATGTTTCAACGTACTTAACTTATTTTGGTTATCATTAAATAATCATTGGATGTACAGTAAAACGTCTACATAACATACTAATGTCATTTGGAAACATTTTAAACTGTTTAAATGAATAATTTTGATGCAGACAAATTCGGACAGCTATTCATACCGTTGCGTTGAATCCGAATTCCGTTTCAAGGAGGTCCATTGTTGTATCGAGGTTTTACTGTACTCCTCACATGAGGATAGTTATAAATTAATTGTTTTGATATTTCAAACATTTGATTTAATTATCTTACCTTTCACTCTTGATATATAAAATTAATTTTAGAATAAAAATCATACCTAATAATTGTAATAACAAATGTTAAGTATAAAATTTCCTAAAAACCCAAAAAAATTTAATAAAAAATGATGTGATAACTTTTTTCTAAACTTTATAAATCAATCACTAAACATTAATTTAAAAAAGAAAAACGATTAACATTCAACAAACGGACTGGTTTTTTTAAAAGAAAAATTAAAAAAGTAAAAATTATTAAATTTAATTATTGGCACATTACCCGTCGTACTTCAAACAGAAGTCGAAATTGTAGTAGCGGTAGTAGTAGTAGTAGAAGTAGTAATTTTGAAAGTCGATTTATCTTATTCGGTGGCATGTTGAATTGAATTTGAATTGTAGTAGTAGTAGTAGTAGTAGTGGTGGAAAGTTGGTGGTTGGTGGTGGTGGTGGTTGGTGGGTTGCCCAAATCCTTTTTTTGTTGTTGTAAAAAAAAAGAAAATGGGGCAGAAGAACCGCCGCTGCTCGTAATTGTCGAGTGAAGACGATGTAGTAACAAAGATGATGAGATGTGGTTGTGGTTGCCAGGAGAAGAAGGGTTGATTGATTGATTGGTTGAATTGGTTGATTTTACTTTTTTTTATAATTTTTTAAACTTTTTTAAGTTGACTCGATTGTGGGGCTCAGTGAAGACGCACTTTTCGCTTTATTTTTTCGCCTGTTCGCTTTTTTTCTTTCAGGGGGGAGAAAACAACAGCAGCGGTACTATTGCGGTTGATGCCGCCCTGCAACTTTACCCCAAACACCAAAAAAATGATAATTTTTTAAAAAACAATAAACATAACCTTCAATTTTTCAAAGTTAACATATTTTTTGCAAATAACAAAGTTTGTTAATAAAACCTATTTAAAACAACTTCTACTATCTTTGATGCCAAAAAAAATTAACATTAACCAAAAAAAAAACTAACCTAACTCTCTTTTTTTTAATTTCATTTTATATTTCAACCGTAATTCATACCTGGAGAATCTAGGTGGACCCCTGCGACCTCCACCACGTCTTGATCTTCCATTAGACATTTCAACACGTACTCTAGCACTGCAAATCCTCCTAGAAACAAAAATTAATTTTTCAAGTTGAATAATTTAGTTAATTATGAAAGTATAGGGGTTGCAATCAAGAAGGGTTTTAATAATACTGGAATTTCGGGATCAGAATTCTCTATCCCGGGTTTTATGGGCTACATAATATATTATGTAATTATAAATAAAAAGTGTTCAAGGTGTTTCTAACGTTACAGTTTATTCTAACCATAATACAAAGCATTATAAAAAAATCTACTGTCCATAGAACTATTTTTCAAGTTTATGTCTCGTTTATCTCCTAAACAAGATCTAAGTTTGTGTTTAATAAACTTGCTGAAGAGAAGCACCGTTCCGGTTCCACATTTATTGGTGGAATAGTTTTCGCACATTCAAAAGCGAATTGAAGATTTTTACCCATGCTACCGCCATTATTGAATATATCAATTTCTTGAAGAGTACATTCTTAGTTAACTGGAGTAAACTGGCTATTGTTTGTTTAGAGCAGAATAAAGTTTTTTTTCAGTGTCTGAAACTACAAAAGCTATATTGAATGTATATATTGTATTATTGCCAATCCTACAAACAATTCAGAATTATTATAAATAAAATAATAATAATAATGCCAAAACAAACATTAATGGTAAGAATTGCCAAAAAGAGAAGAGTCAATATGTACCCACGCAATGTAGATACTATCGTTTTTCATCGCCCCTCAAAACAATAAAAATAAGAAATAAAATATACAGGGTGTTGTCAAATGTCTGGAATATAGCCAATAACTTCGCCATTTGTGGTTTTAAAGAAAAATATTTCAAGTAAAAAATTCTTCATTAATTGTGGCGCTTTTTTTGGTGACAGTTGCTTGTTTACATTGTTTTTTGTTTCGTTGCTATGGCAACCGTTATTTTAAATGGGATACATATGTTTTTTTTTGCATATTTTGATAGAGGATAAATCCCTCTATGCGATGAATATATCAAATCATATGGTATAGCAAAAAAATGGAGAAAAAATGGGTTTTCTGAAAATATTAAATCAGTAAATTACAATAAAAGTAGGCGCTGAAATAACGCCGTTGACAGCTTTAAATATTCTAGCCAAAATAAAAATTTGAAAATTCAGATTGAAGAGAATCTGAATTTCTAACACAATTCTCTTCAGGTCGAAGAGAATTGCGTTCTCTTCGACTAAAATATAATAAAGAATTGTTACACACATTGAGACTTATCCTACTTATGAAAGCCATTATTCCCGAGAAAGGTCTACTAAAAAGTATCTTGGACAGGAACTAAATATTTCAAAAATGTATACATTATATTGTGAAGAATTAACAAAGGAAGGTGAAGAACCAGCTAAAGAATGGCTATTTAGAAAAATCTTTAATGAACAGTTTAATTTGTCCTTTCATTTGCCAGACAACGACACTTGCGATTTGTGTGATTATTTTAATATAAAACTAAAAACTGACCTTAGCGCAGAAGAAAAACAAGCCATTACTAAAGAGCAAGACTTACACTTAGATGACGAAAATGGTAGATATAAGATGAAGAATAAAGATAAGAAATATGCTTTGGAAAGTAATGAACGTCAACTTGTAGTAATGGCTGATCTTCAAAAATGTCTTCCTACTCCTTTTTTGACAAATTCGAAAAGCTTTTATCTTCGAAAATTGTGGACCCTAAATTACACAATTCATGATCCTTGTAACAAAAATACGTGGTGCATGATGTGGGATGAAGTCAAAGCTGGAAGGGGTGGTAAGGAAATGGCTTCTTGTTTTTTTAAATGGCTATCTATAGATTCTAAAACATCAAAACACTGAGGTGTTAACAATTTGGAGTGACAACTATGCAGGACAAAACCGAAATATGATGATGATCGTAATGTATTTATACGCAATGCAAGTATTTCCCAGTCTTAAAGTTATAAATCATAAATTCTTATTACGGCGTCATACTCATATGGAAGTAGACTGCCAGCACAGCATCATCGAACGTGCAAAGAAGAAAGCAAAAGCATTTACAATTTTTACTTGTAACGATTGGCTAAATTTATTCGCAATTGTAAAAAACCTCCATTTAATGTGTACTCCATGGTCCTAGAAGATTTTAAAAATGTTAGTACAGTGTACTCCTTATCAACAGCGCCATTTATATCTAGAAAGAAAAGCAATGATGGCCAAGAGTTTAAACTGTCCAACATTGTTTGGTTTCAGCTTCGGCCAGAAGTATATCGAACTCTTTTTTATAAAACGTCATTTAATGACAATTTTTGTTCCATTAATTTGTATAGAAATATTCGAAAACCGTCAAATATACCAAAAAGTTTGACCCAATTAAAATTTTTTAGAAAATCTATAAGTAAAGCAAAGTATGACAATCTTGTAACTCTCCTTAAGTGGGTCCCTGAAGAATATCAGGATTATTTCGGAAAATTACCCCATACTGAAGAAGCATCAGATTTCCCTGATGATGAATGAGTTTATGAGTTAATATATTTTAAAATTTATTCTTTGTTGTAATAAGTTCATACATGTTATTATTGTCCCAAATTATTGTTTTGTTGTAAGTCCATACAGTCACTCAGAAATAATTTTTTGAAGCCAAAATGTAGTAAATCCAATAAATTCGTAAAAATAAAAAGTTTTCATAAAAATGTTTTGTTAATGAACAAAGACAGATTATTAGTATTAAATAACAATATTTTCGCGATTATGAGGTAAATTGTTTGTGAGCTGAGAATATGAAAATTATTATTTCAAATTAAAAATAGTATATTTTTCGTTATTTCACAATTATGTGATTTTGGACTTAAGTCCCTTTAGCTCTAAGGTACAAATATCAAAATTCGACAGTCTAAACACAAATATAATTTAATCCTTTGACGGTACTTTAAAGTATCGGTAGTTTTATACAATTTTATTCCTTAATTTCAATAAATACGGCTTCCAGGAATTTTTAAATTAGCATCGTTTTTGACACTTTTAGGTTGTACGAAAATGTAAGCTTTGTTTCAAAATTTTTGTTCTCAATATTTTTCCAATCCAACCCAACAATTATTATACATCATTTTAAAAACAAAGCTTTGAGCTTTAATTTAAAATAAGTTTCATTCCTTAATTTCAATAAATACGGCTTCCAGGAATTTTTAAATTAGCATCTTTTTTGACACTTTTAGGTTATACGAAAATGTAAGTTTTGTTTCAACATTTTTTTTCTCAATATTTTTCCAATCCAACCCAACAATTATTATACATCATTTTAAAGAGAAAGCTTTGAGCTTTAATTTAAAATAAGTTTCATTCCTTAATTTCAATAAATACGGCTTCCAGGAATTTTTAAATTAGCATCGTTTTTGACACTTTTAGGTTATACCATACCCCTGGCAATGGGTTATACGAAAATGTAAGTTTTGTTTCAAAAATTTTTTTCTCAATATTTTTGCAATCCAACCCAACAGTTATTATACATCATTTTAAAAACAAAGCTTTGAGCTTTAATTTAAAATAAGTTTCATTCCTTAATTTCAATAAATACTGCTTCCAGGAATTTTTAAATTAGCATCTTTTTTGACACTTTTAGGTTGTACGAAAATGTAAGTTTTGTTTCAAAACTTTTTTTCTCAATATTTTTCCAATCGAACCCAACAATTATTATACATCATTTTAAAATCAAAGCTTTGAGGTTTAATTTAGAATAAGTCTCATTCCTTAATTTCAATAAATATGGCTTCCAGGAATTTTAACACTACCATCTTTTTTGATATTTTTAGGTTATATAAAAATGTTAGTTTTAACTCGATACTCTCTTTCTCAATATTTTTCTAATTCAACCCAACGATTATTGTACAACGATTTAAACAGAAAGCTTTAAGCTTCAATTTAAAATAAGTTTCATTTCTTAATTTCAATAAACACGGCTTGCAGGAATTTTTGAATTAGCATCTTTTTTGACACTTACAATTAGATTAGGCGAAAATGTTAGTTTTTGCTCAATATGTTTTTTTCTCAATATTCTGTAAGATTTTCGTCGTTCTGTAGCTACAGGTCTGATAAATAAATATTCAAATTTACTGCGTCCACAAAAATGTCGTAGCGCAAGTTCAAAAGAAAGAGAAAAAGAAAGTTGGTTCTGCTAAAGCTAGACCCTACTCAAAATGCGTGCAATGTTTATTTATGTTGTAATCAAAGAAAGATCTGTTTTTCTGAATATCATGTGATTTAGCTAAAGCAAGTGTTATAAATAATACTTATTTTCTAATGTAATAAGAAATGTATTATTTTTATATTGGCAATAAAAGTTTTTGTTTACTGCGACATCACTAAAATATATTTTAATGCCTAATGGTACTCTCAAAAACCATTATCCCCCTGGAATGGGGGGATTTACTGAGTGTATTTTGATAGCATTTTAATTCAGTCACAAAGTTTCAAAATTTTTGACTTTTTGGAACACAAAGGGTTCCAGTTTTTCTGTCTCCTATAAAATTTTCCAAAACAGAGTTACATGGTTTTCTTACTAAATCGACAATATGTCGTTATCAAATAAGGAAAGATGGGAACAAACAACAAATAACTATGGCAGTGAGTAAACTGTTTAGACATAAACATATCTGCATTCAGAAATATCCAAATTCTGGATCCACCAACTTTAATCATAAAAACTATCATTCTGTGTTGGTCTGTTCTCAATAATAGAGTGCGGATATGCTGGGTGAAATAGTGATGGAGGCTAATGATCTTTTGGGTTTCCATATTTGGCCAACTTTGCCATCTTCAACAGATCCTCCAAGTGATTTCATTTTTAAGCCTATTGCAGACCAAGCTTTTTTGGTTAGATTTATTCTACAGTGTTCTAGTAAAGAATGATTGCATAAACATTGGTAATTTTCAATTAATTGAACAAATTGCACCATTTAATTACTTTTGTCATCAATTTTTACTATTATTATTTATTGGGCGTAATACGCTGGGCGACATGAAGCATACATATTTCTACAATCATGTCTAATAAGAATGACGAGCAGTGCCATGTCCAGAAGGCATTAAGCTCCGGAAATTCTTTTAAATTGGTTATCCATATGATACCTTTACCGGTAACAACAAAGATAAGGCCACTTCATATACAAAACATCCTGCCTTATCTGAATTTTTTATCAAATTGTATTTATCACAAACACATTTAATACCCGGTTATTTAAATCACTCCATTCTTCCAAATTTAGAATTTTTAATTCCACACAAGGCGTAGAAATACGTCATAAAAAAAATCAAGGTAGGCTTTAAAAATCTATAATGAAAAACAAAATGGCGTACACAAACAAATGCAAAAAAATCAAGAAATAAAAATTGCACCTAAAATTTAATTAATAGTAATAACAAATGGAGTTTCTTACGTTCCGTCTAAGCCTCTAACTGCGTCTTCGGCATCACGGGGATCCTCGAATTCTACGAAAGCGAATCCCGGCGGGTTTCTGGCGACCCAAACGTTCCTTAACGGGCCATATTTGCTAAAAGCGCTTTCGATTTCGTGTTTGCTAGCCGACGATCCCAAATTACCAACGTAAACTTTGCAAGATAGATCCCACTCGCGATATCTAGACATATTTATTACTTTAAAAATGAATAAACACTTCAAAACTACTGAATATTCTTAAACTTCTGTGCGGGGTCCACTTCTTTCTTCAACTTCCGGATAAAATGAGAGAGTGTTAAATGCAAAATGGCGCGGCTTGGGTATCAAAATCGCAAATTGCGCATGCGCCATGAGTACAAATTTTAGGTGAATCTTCTCATTAACAGATGGCGCTTCATATATTTTTAAACAACAAATTATCATTAATGATTTTTAATATACAAAATTAAAATTAATTTTTTTTTTATTTATTATTAATTTAAAATGTAATGAAACATTTAATTCAACTCCAATTTTTTAATTCATTTTGACCAATTTCGACAGCAATGACATCTAGCGACATAATCATAAACAAATTAATTAAATAAGCACACAAAATGGGTAAAAAACGTAAAATTAAAGACGATTCTGAAGAATTTGACCCAGTACCAAGACATTTGGTATCATCCCATGTAAAAAATCAAGAAAAACGTTTAATAATTATCTTGGAACAAGCTCAGTTAGAAAGCGCGAAGGTAAGCGTGTAAAATTAACCTCACTTAATAACATAACCTCAACTATTCTTTTAGGTTGGAAATTCGTTTGAGTTATTAAATTGTGATGACCACGCGAATATTTTAAAGAAAAATAACCGCGATGTGGGTTCTTGTCGACCAGATATAACTCATCAATGTCTTTTAATGTTACTTGATAGTCCCTTAAATCGTGCGGGATTGCTTCAAGTTTATGTTCATACTACGAATAATGTTTTAATAGAAATTAATCCACAAACGCGTATTCCTCGAACGTTTAAACGTTTTGCAGGGCTTATGGTACAACTTTTACATAAATTTTCTGTCCGAGCGAGTGATTCCTCTATGAAACTTTTAAAAGTTATTAAAAATCCGGTTTCTGATCATTTACCGGTTGGGGTGAAAAAAATAGGAACCTCTTTTGGTGCTAAAAATGTGGTTAAAAATTGTCGTGAACTTGTCCCAGAAAATGAACCAATCGTTTTTGTTGTTGGGGCAATGGCACATGGACACTTAAATTTGGATTATGTTGAAGATAATGTTTCGATTAGTAATTATCCCTTATCAGCAGCATTAACATGTACGAAATTATGTAGTGCTTTTGAAGAGGTTTGGGGAATTGTTTAATATAAGATTTTGAATATTAAAATTGTTTTATTTTTTAAATCATTCAAATCCTACACATTTATCTAAATACCGAGCAAAACTCAACCCATCACTTTTACAATATTTTTTTAACCCCCCAAAATCTTTTTTAACACACTCATTTAATTCTTTGCAAGTGCAATAATAAATAAATCCATCTTTATCTAATTGTCGAGCTAATTCTAATTGGTGGTTATCCATTAAATCCTCATTTATAACCACAACAGCTGGTTTTCCATGACGGAGTACTTCCAAACAAGTTCCAGCTCCTGCATGGCTTATTATCAAATCTGCTTTAATAATTTCTTGTTGAAAATCTTCAATGTATTGTTCAAATACGATTTCAATATCAGGGAAGTCTTTTTTTGGAACTTTTCCCGTTCCGAATTGAAGGATTAATTTTTTGAACCCTAAACATTTTAACGTGGTGAGAAAATCGTCTTGGAGGACTGTTGAGATTAATTTATCGAAATTTGTTGTCCCTACCGTTACAAAAAGTTGTTTATTGTTTGACATTTTTAGGTTATGTTTTAGAAGTTAGAGGTTAAGTATTTACGTCAAAAAGTGTATAGTTGAAAAAATTGTATTTATTGTAATAATTAGTAATTTATAGTTTTTTTTATTTAAAGATTAATTTCTTATTCCCCATATTATTTTTATCATTTAAATTTCTTTTAATGTAGTTTATTGAATTTGTTTCAAAACTGTTACTAGATGTCACTGCTAAGAATGTTAAATTACAACTTAAAAATTATTAATTAAAATGTGTAATTAATCAAAGTGCATATATATATTAATTTAACGTTGAATTAAAATTTAATATTTTATATTTATTAATAATTTTTGTGGTAATAACTCTTTAAAGTTAGTTTATTGATATTTACAAAAATTACCACTAGATGGCACTTTTAAATTTGAAATTTGAATTTCTTTTAATTGAAAATTTTAATACATCAAAATTAATTACTAAAAGTGTTATTAAAGGTGATTTCTTAGTCTTTATTGATAAATTGATGAATAACCTCGGAAAAATCGCTTCAATATCGATTCTTTTCGTTAAACCACCACCAAGGTAGCCACCTCGCGTTTATCTCCTAAATAATTCACAATCCAACGGTCGAAATCCCGTTTATAATTAAGCAACCACCAACGAGGAAAGGGCCACGTGGACAAAAATTTAAATCAGCTTCAATTGACGTGTTCTTTCAGGATTCAGTTACACATGAATTCTCGTCAATCACACATAAAAGAAGTTGATAAGAATGGGTAGTAAAAACAATCTCGAATATGGTCAACCAAATTTTGGAACGTGGTTTTGTACAGCGTTTCTGTTTTTTATTTTTTTCTTTTTGTTGAGAAAATTTCGGCAAGGAAGAGAAGCTGTGAAAAGAAATTGCGAATTTATTGGGAAACAACTGGAGCAGATGCAACGAATTATCGAGGAGAATGAGAAGAAAGAAAAAATGTTGAAAGATGGCGAAGAAGAAATTAAAGAAATTAAGCAAGATGAAGAAAATTGCAAAGAAAATGAGCCCAGCCAAAGTCAAAATGAGGAGATTTGTCAAGATATGTATAAAGAAAAAAATAAAGATGAATAAACTATATTAAAAAAATTTAAATAATCTTAATAGTTTATAACAATTAGTTCATCTTAAAAACTTCTTCCGATTGCTAATTTCCTGATCTAATTTTCTTATAACTTTTAAAAATGATATAAACTCAAAAGCAATATTACACGATTATTGATTTTAATGTATTTATTTAACTCGATACAAACATAAAAGTGTGTCGCCTCGCTTCACTTCATCTAAATCGTTTTATAAAGAAGATTTAAAGATATGAAGACACAAAAAGTCACAGTGGATGTTTGGAAAATGTTAATTTCTTCTTCTTCGTATTTGGTATTAGCATTTCTTGCTTGGATATTTGTAAAGTTGTTATATGCTTGTTTTTGGTTACCTGGACATCTTCGCAAAGAAAATGAACTATTTGAAGGTGAAAAAATCGAAGATAATGAAGTTAATAAAGAAAACAAGAAGATTGTATAATTTTGATTAATTTAGATTTAAACATTTGTTTGTAAAGTAAGTAATTAAATCGTTTTCTGGAATTATTTCGCTCGATTGATTCATAATTTCTTCTCTGATTAACTCGTTTAATATCGGAGAGAACTCACTGATTATCGAAGGAAAATTGTTTAAGATGTAATCACTTAATGTTTTGCTGTAGAATTCATCGTTTAAAAACCCGGTGAGTTGAAACTAAAAAAATGAAATGCATAAAATTATTTAAGTAAAAAAAATGTTCTTACTGAAGTTAAAGGATCAGATTTTAACTCTAAATTAAAATTTGATAACGAAACATCACCAGATATTTTAGCTTTTAAGTCCAAATCGATTGAAAAGTTGTTGTTGTCGAATCTGTAAGTGATTTTTAGTAAATAAATTCATCAAGAATATAAAATAGTGAGTGTTTTTACCCAAAAATTCCGTTTCCAAATATATGGTAATCTTCATAATTGATATCCATAAAGTACTTGGATTTTAAGACCAAATTTGGAAAATTAACGCTGGATGTTAAAGTAAAAGAAGGTGGAATAATTCCAATAGTTCCTTTTAATTTTGTTACCTCAAAATGTGTTAATCCTTGTAATTCGAAGTCTTCAACATCAATAAATCCACTTAAAATAAAGATGATACATTTTTTTTAACAAAATTCTTTGATATTTTTAACGTCAAAATTACATGGTTGTCTTTAAAGATTTATTAATTCAAAATTTATCAAATTGAAACAACAAGTTATACATCGTTTTAAAGAGGAAAGTTTAAGTTTTAATTTGGTGTTAAAGTCAATTCATAATTATCATAAATAAAACCTCCACGATTTATTGAATTTTAGTAAAACATCAAAATTACATTGTCGTCTTTAAAGATGTATTAATTCAAAACTTATCAAATTGAAATAACAAGTTATACGTTGTTTTAAAGAAGGAAGTTTAAGCTTTAATTTGGTGTTAAAGTCGATTTATAATTATCAAAAATAAAACCTTCTTTTTGGTATTGAGTAAAACGTCAAAATTACATTGTCGTCTTTAAAGATTTATTGTTTCAAAATTTATCAAATTGGAACAACAAGTTATACGTCCTTTTAAAGAGGAAAGTTTAAGCTTAACTTTGGTGTCAAAGTCGATTCATAATTACAGAAAATAAAACTTCCACGATTTATTGAATTTTAACTTTTTCCTGCTATTTAGTAAAACATCAAAATTACATAGTCGTCTTTAAAGGTGCATTAATTCAAAATTTATCAAATTGAAATAACAAGTTATACGTTGTTTTAAAGAAGAAACTTTAAGCTTTAATTTGATGTTAAAGTCGATTTATAATTATCAAAAATAAAGCCTTCTTTCTGCTATTTAGTACAACGTCAAAATTACATTGTTGTCTTTAAAGATGTATTAATTCAAAAGTTATCAAATTGAAACGACAAGTTATACGTTGTTTTAAAGAAGAAAGTTTAAGCTTTAATTTGGTGTTAAAGTCGATTCATAATTATTAAAAATAAAACCTCCACCATTTATTGAATTTTAACTCTTTTCTGCTATTTAATAAAACATCAAAATTACATTGTCGTCTTTAAAGATGTATTAATTCAAAATTTATCAAATTGAAATAACAAGTTATACGTTGTTTTAAAGAAGAAACTTTAAGCTTTAATTTGATGTTAAAGTCGATTTATAATTATCAAAAATAAAACCTTCTTTCTGCTATTTAATAAAACCTCAAAATTACATTGTCGTCTTTAAAGATGTATTAATTCAAAATTTATCAAATTGAAACAACAAGTTATACGTTGTTTTAAAGAAAAAACTTTAAGCTTTAATTTGGTGTTAAAGTCGATTCATAATAATCAAAAATAATACCTCCACGACTTATTGAATTTTAACTTTTTTCTGCCGTTTAGTAAAACGTCAAAATTACATTATCGTCTTTAAAGATTTATTGTTTCAAAATTTATCAAATTGAAACAACAAGTTATACGTCGTTTTAAAGAGGAAAGTTTAAGCTTTAATTTGGTCTCAAAGTCGATTCATAATTACCAAAAATAAAACCTCCACGATTTATTGAATTTTAACTTTTTTCTTCTATTTAGTAAAACAACAAAATTACATTGTCGTCTTTAAAGATTTATTGATTCAAAACTTATCAAATTAAAACAACAAGATATATCTCCTTTTAAAGAAGAAAGATTAAGCTTTTAATTTGATGAGAAAGAATTTCGTTTCTGATTTGTAAAACTGAATGAGAGCGTAAAAAAACAAAAAGAAGTTTAAACTTACGATAACCCATCAATACCAAATAAATCCATATCAACAAACTCTTTTTGAAGAATTAAAGGGTTAAAATGTGGTATTTCTAATTCGGGAATTCCCTGATTTAATTCAAACCTGATACATTCTAGAACATTTGTGATGGTTTCTTCGAAAGCTCGATTGGAAAATTCTGATAAACACACTGAAAGCACACAAATTAGGCTACAAAATTTCATTTAAGAATGAATCGATAGTAAAACCTCGGCCGCGAATGACCTTGGCTAATCTTAAAACAGAGGATAATATAAAGTATTTACCTTGTGCAAAATTGATTTGGAATGAACCCAAAACAACAAAAATTAAAGTTAACACCTTCATACTAATTTTAAGATTTGCTTGAATTATAGAAATAAAATTTGAATGATTTAAGAGGAATGAAAGAATTCGTATTTATACCTTTTTTTATCTTATTTTTTTTATTTTCTACGTTTTGTAACATTACTTTCTTTGTTTTTGAACTTGAAAGTACCAGGTAAAACATTTTATATTTTTCTCAATATTTATTACAAAATGTTATTGTTATTTTAAGTGATTTTATCAGATTTTGCATAAAATTTCTTGTCTATTTCGCAAATTATCTTGATGAGTATTTAGAAATCTAAAAATTAAATAGATAGGGTAGACCACCACAATTACATGATTACAGTGATTTCCTATTTATTTTGATTCACTCTGTATATATGTTGTTGGGTGATGGTAATTAATTGGGTTGCCAAAAATTTGTCCTTAGGGATTTGAAACATGCAAGGAGACCATATCTAGGAATGGAAATAGAACAATATCTTGGCTTGTGTATTTATTGGGTTTATTCGCCTTAAAAAAGTTTATTTTTTCCAAATACTTTTTTATTTCACTTATTTACATCATCATTTTTAAATCATTATTATTTCGCATAGATTATGTACAAATAAGTTTCGAGAAGATCTGTGTTACATCGACAACGGAGTAATAGCGTTAATTAGTACAATTATACATTTATTTTTATAGACTCGATTACGTTTTAAAGTCAGTTAACTCCATTTAATACAATAATAGTCACCTTAATTGAGCCAACTTTATTAATTAAAGCCAACTTATACAAAAGTTATCTTTAAGTTATCATTTTTATTTGAGTCAACATCATTTTCTACTCTACATTTTAATTACATAATCGCATTAAAAAAATAAATACATAAATACAGTCTGTATGTGATTAATAATGCGTGCGCTATTTGTTACAACCTTATTTATGTTTTATTTTCCCCATCACTTCGAACGCGAAGAGTTGGCGAAAAACGATTCGGTTGTATAACACTTTTCCCTGAGCTGTCTGTCGTCTTGTAACCGGACAGTATTTACATTCCTCCTCATTAATAATTTAAGAAAAAAAAATGTTTTCTCTAAACTTTTTTTCAGATCTAAAAAAAATTCGAGTTAAAAAAAAATATAAATCAGCCCCCCTCAGTCTATCAATTCCCTTAATGGGGGATGTTTTTTTTCTTATTACCTTAAAGTACGACATAGTACAAAAAAGACGTTGGTAACATTCACATTTACTACATGCATTATGACGAATCAGAATCGAAAAAATAATATAATATAATAAAATAAAAAATAAATAAATTGAACACTTAACGAGTCACTTTGGTTGATGAGGAGAGATAGAGAGAAGAAAAACGAATATTTTAAAAAAACCCTCCTCTCAATGTACCCCTTCGTGTCGACCTCTACGCTTTTTATTCTTCTTATTCGGCACCACCACGCAACTACACCCACTGCGCACTTTAATATAATCCAACGTCCATTTTGCATCGCCGTTTTGACCGTTTGCCGGAAACGATGGAAACGAAGGCCTTAAATGACCTTTTTTACCCGGATCTTTAACGATCGCGTAGGAATAACTGTACTTTTGAACGCACTGCGAATTGTTGTGCAATTTCCGGTCCATAAATCTACAAGGTTTTCCAACGACGTCCTTGTGACATGATAGTTCGTAAAATCGTTGTCTGTTTGCCCCGTCCCTGTACAGCTCCACATACTGATCGTCCTGGTTCTTCCCCCCTTCCGGTTCAACCATTTCCAAAACAGACGGACAACAATCGACCGCTGTTCGATTACGAGTTTCTTGTCGAAGGAGCATTTGGTTTTCGCGAGGCTTTAAATACTTTCCTGCTTGTTCGATTGTTACGTCGTTACTGTAGTATAAATCGTCCCTAAAACAAGCAGAAATTAACAAAAATTAAAAAATTGGTTCTTTTTTTGTAATTAAAGTTAGTTAATAACCACAAATTCTAACAACCAAATATGTTAACAATCAAAAATGCACTTTTTCTTTGTATACATTGTAATTTGTAAATGAATTTGTAAATTATCCAAGCGATTAATTGCCGTTTTAATTAATTTATTATCTTATTAGTTGTATAATTTCAGTTTTGAATATCTCGGATTGTGACATGCCTATTAACATGCAAAACTAATAATTATTTATATATCTTTGACTTTTCAGGGTGACCTAGATTGGTTTTTTATTACCGGTTAATTAAGAAAGAAATATGCAGTGTGTCCCAAGACTTTTTAGTAGATTTCAGATCATTTTATTACTTACAAACAAAAATTAGGTTTCGAATTTATTATATATAGTAAAATCTCGATATAACGAACCTCCATCTAGAATGTTTCAGGTTTAGTTACTTTTACATTATTTTTACAAATTTCGGATTGAGCAGAATCTTTAATAAGCTTAATTTGAGCTGCAAAAGATTTCAAAAATTCTTTGTCTATTTTGCATTTGTTTGGAACACCAATTTCATTGAATTTTTGAATTTTTTTGGTTGTACAAAATTTCTGACCAATTTAGTTTGCACTGCATAACTTGTAAATAGTAAATGTGGAACGAAAATTGTTTTGGTCGTTTTAAAAACCAGGATTTACTAAAATTGTTGCTTATTTCCGTTCGTATTTACTTCTGTTCACCTTAGTTCGAACTACATCGCATCTCCATCATATCTAATACACCAAATATGAAAAAAAAATAATGTTTGGACACATTCCTTCCTTGTATTAATCCGTTATATCGGGATTTTACTTATATGTATATTTTTTAGTTAACTAATAAACTTTTTTTAATTCTTAATATCAATTAAGTTAAAATTAAATTAAAAAAAGTTTATTGAGAAGTTATTGATGCGTTTGGGCATTTGTATCGTTCACAACTAAATTAAATAATTAAAAAATGATTAAGAAAAAGTGTAAATTGTGTCGATGGTCGACTTACCTAAGTAGGTAGCACAGTAAGCTGGCACAGCAAAGGAAAGGTGGATAAAAAAAACAGACAAGAAGTTATTGGTTTTTTGTATCTTTTTACAACAACGACATCGAAAATTAATCGACTTGAATGAAATTAATTTGTCAACATTAATACGAACGAACAGCGTCAAATTAATTCTTTTAAATTAATCGTTAAGAAAAAAAACAAATAAATTAAAAAAGATAAAAAGTTAATAAAAAAAATCTTTTTAGAATTGCTTTTTTATTTTTTTTCTTTTTTTATTTATTACTTTCGATTATTATAACATTTATACCTACCAGACGTGTGTGCTACGTTCTGATCTGGACAGCAACAGTGTATCGTTGAAATGTTGGGAATGAACTGGCTTTACAATAGCGGTTAAACTGAACACCTAAAACAATAAAATAGAAAAACAAAATTAGAAATTTCAAAAATATTATTTGCTTTATAGTATTTTACTCTATTTGCTCAAATAATTGACTGATATTCTTATGACTGAAAGTAAAATGAAGATTGTAAATTACACAGAGACATAGATGAGGTAAATCCTTGATACATATATGAAACAGCCTTTATTTTCATGAACACTTAGATGGTCCTATTAACTTTAAACCCAGCACAGAATAATGAAAAAATTTCAAGTAAGACATGAGATAAAGGATCTGACTATTCAAAGGGAGCGTTACGAAACTAGGAAAAATTGGAAAGTTTGTCTCTAAAATCTTTAGGTTGCAGCCGAAAACAAGCTGTCCCAGGTTTTAAAGTATATTACCCAACACTCTATGACATGATGTAGTTTTTCTCGGACACCATGACGTCGTTTATAAAAGTTGCAACAGTATGGATATCGAAATGTGAAATTCTTCAGCAAATGACCAAGGTGCAGAAAGAAGGTGTGCTGGGAAAAGAAAGATTAGTAAGCCAATTTCATGGTTAAATGATTGCAGGTGACCCTAAGATATGGTAAGACAACTATGACCGACACTCTCAAATACCAGATGAATTAACTCCATTCCTTTTTGAGATTAGACCAAAAGTTTCATTTCCTTTTTTTGTTAGGTGTTCTTCTCGAGATCAGACAATGATTTCTGCTGTTTCTAGAAAACTATCTTTAGGAGAGGTCTTCAAACTCTTAAAATCAAACGGATGGTTCAACTCTAAACAACGCATGCAGAAGCTGTTGAATCGTCTATTCAAGCTAAGCTAGTTGGGCTTCTTAGAATTATGATGCTTTCGGCCCTTTTTGCAGTTTTCTCGGACATGGCTAAAGCCCGACATGCAGAAAGAGAATGTGAACCTAAATCATACTAAGATAACTATGTCGTTGGAGGATAAAAGTACTACTTGATGGATATGTCTGCTGTAATTATCTATCTATAAACAGGAGCCAGTGATAACAATCCTTCATTGGTTCAGCCCAAGCTTACTCAAACCAACCTAACCCAATTCAACCTAATCCAACCTATCTTTCAATATCACACTGCCACAATCAGAAAACAACTAGGAAAATGCCTTAAAAATGTCTTAAAGTTAGTATAGCAATAAGATTTTAATACTGTGATCTTATAATGTCTAAATGTAGATAATAGATATCTTCTCTAGCCAAGATTCTTTCTTAATTAAGCCAATTATAAAAAAGTAAGTAGAAAAATTAAAAAATCATTCCACTTTTTCTTTTTCTCCTTTACCAATAAAAACTTAATCCAAACAACGTTATTGAAGAGAAGTCTTCAATCTCTCAAAATCAAACGGATGGCTCAACTCTAAACAACGCATGCAGAAGCTGTTGAATTAGATTTAGGGTTTTCTATAGAGTCTGTGGAGTACGTCTATGATGCCAACCCACCCCAACCGAACTCAATTCAACCCAACCCAACCCATCTTTCAACACCACACTGCCACAATCAGAAAATAACCAGGAATATGCCTTAACAATGTCTTAATTTTAGTATAGCAATAAGATTTTAATACTGTGATCTTATAATATCTAAAAGTAGATATTAGATATCTTTTCTAGTCAAGGTTCTTTTTTAATTGCGCCAATTATAAAAAAAGTAAAAAAGTTAGATATGGGGATGGTAGGAGCAAGGGTTCTTAGAGGATGTGTAGACCAGGTACCGGAGATGGATGTTGGGGTTGGCTAGAAAGACTCCGGGATATATGGTCAGGGAAAAAATGAAGGTAGATCAGGTGAGGATGGAGGCGGGTAAGCGAGAGGTGCGTTTTGAGAAGAGGGTGGAAGGTAGAGAGCATTGTAAAAATCTTGGGGGAGTGCTACAGACAGATTGAGGCAAGTAAGGGGCGTTATGGGCAGCAAGAAAGGGAGGAATACTACAGAAGGGTGTGGTATTCAACGGAAAAAGTGAACAGGAAAAAGATTGAGGATTGAAAGAAGAAGAATTGTTGAAAGATAAGTTGGGTTGGGTTGAATTGGATTAGGTTGCGTTGGGTTGGTTTGAGTAGGTTTGGGTTGAGCCAGTGGATTGAGGATTGAGATGTGGAAACAATTGGAGAGCAGAGACATGGATGTGGGAATGCAAGAGAGAAGGACGGCGATAACGAAAAGCAGGTACAATCCAGAATGTAATGAAATTGTAGTAGAGGGGCTACCAAAGTACCATATCATAATAATAACAATGCCATATACGTTTTAAGTTCTTAACTCTTCATCCATCTTTAATGTTCATTTGACTTTGGCTTTTTTGGTTTTAATGAGTAGTCAAGAATTGTTTGGATGTATTCAAAACACATCCCGCGTTATAACTAAAAGACCTCTTGAACAGTTGGGTACGGTACATTACGGATTATGAATGTCCGTTCTGTAAGTAATTTCGTTGGTGAGGTAAGGTGGTAGCTTACTTGACGTAATTTTATAAAAAAAAACAACCAAAATGTAACTGACGACGACTTGACATAATCAGCCAATTCAACTCCCCTAGCTTATAGGATACTCCTACGATACTAGCCGTACGTAGTAATACGTCGGCGTATTCCAAATATAAAACTAACACAAGAATTCTGAATACGTCGCGCGTAAGCAGTCAACAGGCAGTGGCCGTAAATTGTGTCACAGTATGTATAATTGGATAAAATTACAAACTCACAAAGATTTTTTTTAATATCGACGTTCAAGACTTCTCTATGAGCAAACAGCATTTTCAATTTTGCGTAAGCATGCCTCCTGATCAGTTCCCTTGTGTTAAGGGTAAAGTTTAAGCTGTCGTCAATGTAAACGCCAAGATTCTTGACACAGACCCTCCTCTCCAATTCAATTCCATCTATAAAGATATGGGCCATATTGCTGACAAACGCCTTGGATTCCCTACCCCCGAATACCATGTAGACCGATTTATTCCCATTTAACAAATGGCCATGTTTTTTAGTAACATTTAAAAATTTATCTAAATTACTGTTTACATCTGCAACAGACTCTAGCACATTATTTGAGTTAAAGCTGTGGTAAAGTTGTGTGTTATCCACATAGATATGAAATTTTGAGCAGAAGCGGTCAAAAATCAACATTTGAGACGTATAGATAGTGAACAAAAGGGGACCCAATGTAGAGGCACACCAAACCTCAATACGGCTGGATCCGACACATCATTATCAATAACTACATACTGACTTCTCCCGCACAAATAATTCAAAAAAAAAATTTAAGCTTGTATTATTGAACCCAATATAATGAAGAATTGCTAAGAGAAATTGATAGTGTCAAACGATTTTGAGAAGTCAAGTAAAACCGAAACAGTAGCCGCGCCATTGTTTGGTGCAGACATAATATCATCAATAATTGTCGATAGTGGGGTTGCACAACTATATCCAAGCCTAAATCCTGAAGCGTTGAAACGTATTTGTTCCGCCAAGATCCTTTCCAAAATTCCCGACAAAGTACTCAAAATACTAATTGGCCTCACATCCGAGAAGGAAGAAGCAGTTGATGATTTAGGCATAGGAACAACTTTGGCAGATTTCCATTTCTCAGGAAAGACAAAAGTTAGTTACATGCAGGAGGAAGGGAGTTATGTGTGGACAACAGAAACCCATCATCCTAAGGCTTATACCATCAATTCCTGCCACCTGACTCGACATCCTCGTCAAGATAATATTGATCTTAGATTAATTTACTTTTTGGAAATTGAAATTTTTCACACTAGGTCTGACATTATTAGCATAAAAGTTGTGCACGTCCGTGTCAACCTCCGCAGACCGTCCCCAAATCGAAGAAAAGATAGTCTCAGACTCGTCGGTGGGCAGGGTTTTTTTTTATTGTAAATATTCAACTTGCGCAGCTCCCTTCATAAATTTTGAGTGCTCCCGAATCTCATTTGCTCAGTTAAGTAAGCTCTTTATGAGATAAATATGAGGAGATGAGGAGGGGAAGAGGTTGGTAGCCAGGCTTAGGTGTGGGAATAAAGAAAGGGCCAACAGATATTGGATGGAAGATGAGGATTCACCATCTGCTGGTGAAGTGTAGTGAGTTGAGGGAGGAGGTGATGAATTGGAGACCGGTGTTGGGGGTGAGGACGAAGGGAAGCAGATGGATGGGGAATTGATGGCAGTAAGTATCTCCCGTAGAGAGGGAGAGGTTAATCAAAACTACGTTAAGTATACGCGTGCGAGGATGGCAACAAACCTCCCAGAAACTAACTTTTACCCGTAATTTCCTATCTACTTTCTTAGCTGATATCTTCCTTACTATTAGAGACAGCGAAAAACTAAATGCATCATTTGAAAGCTTAATTCTTTCTCTATCTAAAACCGGGTTGCCGACAAGTTCATACTAAGATCAATAAAAAAAACACCGCTCTGTACTGTATGTATATATGTACCTAAAAATTATCACAGTTCAAGCCCTTGTGCAATTGTTTTCAAACCGAATTTTAAAAAACTGTTATCACAATCAGAAAAAGCGCTCCGTCAACTATCTTAATTCGGGTTTTCGTCGGTCAATATCTATCAGTGTCATGCTTAAATCACCCTTAATATACAGCTCTACACACAGAAACGCTGAATTGCTCTAAACAACTTTGTTATTTAATAGGGAGAAAACTATATGTAGAAGTATATCTATCTTATCGAAAATTTTCTGCTCTTTCTAATGGTGTATAACACGCGGCGACCACGCGTTTGCACATGTTTTTGGTCAAAAGTGATTAAAACGTGTGAATTTAGTAGTTTTTAGCCAAAAAACGTTTCTGTCATACTCAACTAACAAGATTTAAAAGTGGCTAAAACGATAGAGAAAGAATCAAGCTTTCAAATGGCGGATTTAGTTTTTTGCTATCTCTAATGGTAAGGAAAATATCAGCTAAGAAAGTAGATAGCAAATTACGTGTAAAAGTTTGTTGCCATCGTTGTACTGGTTTTAGGCATAACATTTCTAATACA